CCTCTAGGTATTCAAGGCACTATTAATTAAATTATATTAATAAAACCCTATATTTAGAGAAAATTTTTAAAAAAAAAAAAAATTAAAATAATAAAACACTTGCAGATTCTGCTGACATTCCTGAAACAGTGAATAAATCTTTACATTGATGTAACATATTGTAAACATATTTTGAATAATGTTGCTGCTGAATAAATCCCTCACTGTTTATGAATTCACTTCCTTCAAATGTCACAGAATCATCATCAACAGCATGACGAGCACTATACAAATCATAACCTCTAGTTGTACACATGCTATTTGATCATAGATTTTTTTTTAAAAAAAAAAAGAGAAAAAGAGATACGAAAGAGCAATATCCATGTAAATAGTATATTAATAATAATAATATAACAATCAAATTAGACCATCTTATTATCAATAAAAATAGCAAGTCAAACTTTTCCTTTTCCTTACAAATTAGATAATTGTCCTAATATACAAATAGTTTTAGTAACTGTAAACTGTAAGGAAAATTGCTAATAAATAGGAATAAAAATTTTTTGTTATCAATTAAAATTAAATTAAGAAATACTAAATAAATATCAAAAATTTATTTTGCTCTTTTACCTGTAAAGAGTCTTTCAGATCTGTTTCTAACAATAATAAATCTTGATCATCAAGGTTAGGTATACCCATTAATACAAAGTCTGACATATAATTCTTACAATGTCCGACCATCAATGATCTACCATAGGATTTGACAAATAATCGATCTGCACGATACAATAACTTTGTATCATCATCATCTTCAGTTTTTGTAGTATCTAATTTTGTATCTGGTATGGTGAATTTATTTGCTGACCTGAATTAATGATAACAGTTAAAATCATACAACTAATTAAAGTTTATTCTTTAAAAAAAAACACATATATAGATGCATACTTTGGTATTGGCACATCCATAAAATTTTCTATAGAAAGGTCTGATATGGAGCCATCAATTATCAACCTTTTTTGCTTATTATTATCACCATCACCATCAGATGAATAATGATTATTATTTGAATATAAATCTGTTTCTTGAATTGATTTATTAAAAATATTATAATTATATAATTATATTTTCTCCATTAATATTAATATCATTAGTATTAGTATATTAAATTTCTTTCTATATTACCACCATTATTCATCATATCTTTTTTTGAAAATTTTGCTTCATTCATAATATCTAATAAATATTTAATTGTTGTTTTTCAATCAATTAGAACCAATTCATTATATGAAACACCAAGTAAAAAAAGCCATATTTATTTAATGAGAAAATTTACTCACCAATCATGGATTTTTTTTGTCCATTGAAGTTAGAATCAAACGGAATCATTTGTTCCTTATTCTCATATACTTCATTACATCGAATAAAATAACTAAGTATAAAAATAATGCGTCTAACCATGTTTACATCTTTTCCAATTATGATTGTTCGACTTAATGTTGGTGTCCCCAAATTACCATACAAATCTCTACACATAATATGATAAATAGTTAAAAACAAATTGTTTACATCTTTTCCAATTATGATTGTTCGACTTAATGTTGGTGTCCCCAAATTACCATACAAATCTCTACACATAATATGATAAATAGTTAAAAACAAATTAATTTTATTATTATAATCATTCATGAAAAAAATTGAATTATATATTTAATTTCATTATAATATATACCCAAGTTGTGCCCACAAAGGATCGTAAAATAAATTCTTGAATATTTTATATTTAAATATTATGATAAATGTTTAATATCGTAAAAAGTAAATATAATAAATAATAATAATAATAATAATAATAATAATAATAATAATAATAATAATAATAATAATAATAATAATAAGATATTTCAACGTTACATGTTCATCAAAATCTATTGCGGGAGCTACCGTAGGAACCCAACCTAAATGATACATCAGAACACTAGTTATCAATGTAGAAATAAAACTGTCAAATCAAAATTAAAGAATTAAGGTTTATATTTAATGAATAGTTTATATCAAAAAATTATAAATATTAAAAAAGGGATACAATGAATTTGATTGTTTATCAAATTTTTGAATTAAATAAGATAATTCCGTCATTAGGCTATTGGCTAATTTGTTCTTTCTTTGTGGAAAAGTCGAAATGTTCAACCATAATGGCTCCTTGCACAAAGTTTTTTGAAGGGATTATTATTATTAGGAGTGTTAGTTGTTGCCACCTTTTTTAATTTTATTTAATCTTATTATTTACACAGTGTATACACACAATATGCATGCAACACTTTTTTTTTAATAGGTAAGCAACACATTTCAAGGAGGTTTTTTTTAAAATTTATATTTGATATAAATTTGTAGATTTGTTGAATCTTTCTTAAATCATTGTTACCTGGATACGCGGCGTACTATATAATTCCCATAATGATTTCTTGAATCGATTTACAGTTTCTAACCAAGATTGATCATTTTGAAACATTAATGATGAAAGAGATGATAAAGATAACCTTGTTCTATTCAGTGGATTAAATATCTAATAAATAATAAAATCAAAATAATTTTTTTTAAATTTATTTTATGAAATTTCATAATTATATATTAGTTATTAACACTTACTGAATTAGGACCAGTAATAGTGGCTGATCCGGAAGACCTCCTGAGATGAGTACATAGTAGTTTTAATGCAGCTGAATGAAGTTGGTGTAATCTGTTTTCTAATAATGTAAAATGATAAATTCTTCTAATAACTCATTATCCTCCAGTGATATCACGACTCCAATTGCATACATCAAAGAACGACCTGGAGATTTCAAACTTATCTAATCAGCCATTAATAATTAGATTAAATTTGGATTTAAATTTAGATTTAGATTTAGATTTAGATTTAGATTTAGATTTAGATTTAAATTTAGATTTAGATTTTGTTTGTAACTTACATTTCCAGATGAAAAATCTAAACGGGCCATCCCACCAGGTAATGGAGTTGGATTAAACACACCTTTTTCCAAACTAGTTTGACTAAACCTCCTTATTCTTCGATTAATGAAAGTGCTTCGAGGAGAAGTGGATAAAGATGATGTTGGTGAGATAGAATAATCATTAGTTCTCAAACCAAGAATTGGTGGCCCGTTAGAAAAATATGGTGGAGATGAATATGAAGAGACAACATGGTATGAATCGTCATCACTAGATTCGGAACAATCTTCGATGTGGAATGTATTATTGTTAGTTTTAAGTGTTTGTGAAATACTACGTGGCTCTTGGGTGGTGATATTAATCGGTGCACAGGTTCCTTGTGTAGAAGATGCAATTGATGTATCACTATTTACTGAAGAAATAGAGCTTCGTCTTCCAGGTGAACTTGATTCCAAATTCGCGGGATTTATAGAAAATAGTTTTGTTAGCAAGATTTGAGGTTTTGGATTTTTTATGAAGTGAATTTTTGTGTTCATTCCTTTATATGATAAAGGAACAGCACCAAACATCATTTCCCCAATCAAATCGATATTATGAATTGCCTTTAAAATTAATATAATTAATAATATAATTAATTAATATAAATTATCAACCTATTTCTGTTTTTGCAAAAAAAAATTATTATTCACTTTTTTAGGAGTTCCAAGTCCAGCATTATTTCGATTCAATGACGGAGGTAAAGTTCGAGCATTTGCCTTTTTATTCACAGAATCCAAATTTCTTCTTTTACTCTCATTGTTATTATTAATAATGTTGTTACTGGTGGTGGTACTTGTGGATGATGATCTGATATTAATGGCAGCCGTTGATTTTTGAATAAAATGTCCATTTAATATACTACCACCACTGCCACTCCAAGATGATGATAACTCTGAGGTATTAGCTGTAGTATTCTTTGATCGATCTCGATTATCAGGCGATTTGGTGGTGGGATTTGAGATAAGGGAATAGGCTGAATCAAACAATGTCAATTTAACCTTGTCACCCGTATCTTGACAAAGAATTACACGGATTTGTTTGGTGTCAAAGTTTGGAGGTGACCAACTAATTTTAGATAGAGATAGTTAAAGATAGTTAAGGAAGCCAAAGAAATTCAATATATATACATTAAGATCATACAAAAAAAAATTTCCTTATAAATAGATAAAATTCTTTATTTAAAAAATTAAATACAAAATTTTTATTGCTTTTTTTTGATTGATTAAAGAATAAAAAAAAACAAATTATTAAAATTTTATCTATTATTTATCTATCAATCACTCCAAAAAAAAAACTAGTTTCCCTTTCCCCACACAATATTTCTAACGAAATTATATTTTTATAATCAAGTCAATCCTTTGTCATATAAAGACGTACGAGTTACTCTCCAATAAAGCTTCAGTAGGCGTGGTATCCTCAGGATTATTTGGTGATGGTGTTGGCCGAA